AAAAAATGATTGTCAAAGGAAAAAAATACTGATAGATAAAGGTATTAAACAAGCATGGAATCGTCGATATTCTAATCAAGTTCATTCAGGTGTTCGAGTTAAAATACAACGAAAAGATAATCAACAAATTCAGTCGAAATCGAAATCAACTTTATCAGATACAACAAATCATATACAATCGATGTTAAAACGTTTATGGATTGAATCAGAAACATCAGTATTAAAACAAAAACCAGTTTTAAATAATAGTTTTCGCGACAAAAATATGATTAGTATTGGTATACAAACAGTAGGAATACGAAAAATTGATCAACAAACATCATGTAATATTATCAGATCAATTGTAGAAAAAAATCGATCATCATCAACATCTCTAAGTGAAACATTAACATCAGATGAAAATTCAACATGTACGAATAATTCTTTAACAGAAACGTCAACGGTTAGTAGTACTACTTCAAATACAAAGAAGAATAAAAATCGAAATAATAATGCAATTGATAATGATATCGAATGTAACGATAATCAAATCACAATAAAAGAATTCATTACGGAAAAATCAAAAATACAACTTTCGCTAGTATTATATTTTAATAGTTTTGTAAGAATATAATCTTTCCTTTTGGTAGAATAATCAACAAGACATTACACACGGTTATCCGCAATCGAGTTTATTATCAAGAAAAAAAAGATTTTTTGATAGATTTCTTAATCTATTTTCGTTCCTTCAATTATCATCATTTAAACAAGATCAAATTTGTATACCAATAAATCCAGTAATCACTGATGCTGATCAAAATAAAGGAAATAAAATTGTTCAACCACTAACTTCTCGTTGTCGGCGACGATCTATAAATAGAAATTTCAATTGTAACTCATTGATCCAACCAAAAACTAATTATACTCAAATAGAAACAGAAGAAAATTCTTCATCTAAACTTAATAATTATTTAGAACAAAAAATTTCGAAATATTCCAAATCAGATACATCAATATTAATCAATAAACAAAGTATATATTAACAATTTGCTTCTATAAATAACTCTATATATCAAAAGTAAATAATTCTCATTCTCAAAAACGCCGTTCATGCCGATCGAATAAGATAAATCGACGTAAACATAAATATCGTCGCCATCGGAAAAAACAAAAATATATTCAGTCATCACATTCTCAGCTAACAATTTCATCTACTGATAATAATCAATCTAAATTACACAATGAAGAAAGTAATTTTTTCAAAATTCTTCAAATTTAATATATATAAATATTCTTAGATCTAGAAGTCAAACAAATATCAGTCACTCATTCTGATATTGAGAAGAATCCATCGGAGAAAGTAATAATAGTTCGCTGAATGTTTGTATATGTATCCATTGGTTTAGTGTGATGATAATCTTACAATAGAAGTGATTCCATCGAATGATTATCAACATTATTCGTTTCATCCATCAATAGATTTAATTCGTCTTCGTGTTAAAAATAAGAATTTAATATCAACTTTATCAAAATCTAACATACCACGAATATCTATCGATCATGTAGATGATAAAATTCAAATTCATCAAATGAATTTAGTTAATGAATTTAAATCACTTCTTGAACAAACAAAAAATATTCATATTAATAATAATGCATTTGATGATGATTTAAGCATTAATACGTCTCCAATTCCATTTAAAAAGAATATCGAAGTAAGAATATAATTTTAAATATTTTCGAATAACTTTTTCTTTGGTTATTTAGGTAGGGAAAAATCAGAATGAAAATAAATATCAACGTACATCTATTCTCTCATCAGATAGTCAATCTATATTAACTGAAAATAAATCTATAGATATGTCTCAAGAAATACAAGAACAAAATAAAATTATTCAAGAAGGTGTTGACCAATTAATACGTTATCAAAAATATGCTAGACAATATAAATTAAAAAGTAATAAAGCAGTTAAACAATTTCTTATAAAATCCAAGGCATTATCTTCTGAATCGCTTTATAAATTATCAATTAATAATGAACCATATTTGATACATAAATAAATTTTCTTCTTCAAATAACAAATCCTTGATATTAATCAGATGTTATTCAGTATATTTAAAATATAACGAAGTGCAAAACATACACCAAGGCCACGTTTGTCTATACTAACAAATATGTAAAGGATATTGTTTGTTATTTGTTTTTATCTAGTAAAGAATGAAAAGTATATATATATAGCGTTTTACTTGTCGGCTGTTATATTTAAAAAAACGCACCTGTCGACCTAAGTACGATAAAGCGGTCAAAAGAACATCTCTAGATTCTATTAGAACTTAATATAGAATATGAACGAATAACATTTCTAATATAGTGATAGTTACCGCTAGATTTCTTTCTTTTATATTTAAAACAAAGAATACACTGATGAATCTATATATGAATAAAGAAGTTAAGAGAATACTTTTCGATTCTATTAGAACTTAATATAGAATAACGAATGAATAACCTTCCTAATATAGTAATATACAGCGCTTTGTTTATTGACTTTTATATTTAAAACAAAGAATACACCGATGGATCTTTATATAAATAAGGAGGTTAAAAAAACAATTTTCGATTCTATGAAAATTTAACATAGAACAATAAACGAATAGCGACCCTGATATAGTAGAGCGATAAAGGAGAATAGATAATGAATATAGATTACCCAAGAAACAATACTAGATATCGTTTTCACTACAAGAAAAATAGTTAAAATAAGAATCATCGAATTTCATAGTATAAACTATTCAATAATCTTTTCTCTTTTGTACACTACAATTATTTATAAGATTTTATGAATACACTGAAACCTCCCTAATGTGAACACCATCGGGACCGAAAAAAAGTGTTCATTATATGGAGGTGTTCACTATAGAGAGCTAATATATAATATAGTCTAAAATCGAAGAAATCTTGGAATATTTGCTTAAGCCTTTATAGTAGAGAAACACCCGAGTATCTATGCTACTGTTCATTTATTATTAGTTAAACGATTTTAATAAAAGTTTTTTTCAAACTAAGATACAAAAACAAAACTTATTTTTTTCTAAAAAGATCTTCTAACGTTGTTTGTCTTATTGCTTTCGAATCAATACATAGATCTATTAGTTTAGAATCTATAGTTCACTTATCAATGAATGTAACTGTGACTGTTGTACGGTAGAAAATAAATGCAATTTTCGTATAATTTCTAACGCATCTGTTACTCTTGGTGGTGTATCGTTTGACCTGTTGATTTTGATTTGTTTCATAGTCATGTAAATACTGTGCCTTTTGCTTCACGATATTACATAGAGAACCAAGTGAAATACAATACTTTTTCGGATAAAGTTTCTAGAGATAAACCATTTTTATGATCAAACATTAATTATATTTTCTTGTGTAAGGTTAAAACACGTGTTAACGCCGTACGTTGTTTGAACGCACAACATTCGAATCATATATAAAACGCACCTATTTTCAGTGCAACAAACCATATGACAGAAAGCAGAAAGAGGTCGAAAGAACATCTTATATATGTTTATATTGGAGAGGTAACAATACCAAACGGGACCGAAAAAAGCGTTCATTGTTCAGAAGAAAGAGATGCATTTTCAACAAAAATCGCTCCGTCGGACCTGAGACCGTTCATAAAACGGAGGAGTTCACCATGAAAGGTTTCACTATATATCAAATAAATATTTTCGAACTCTATAATGAGAGTACTTTTATTATAATTGTCCATATTTAAATTATGTATTCTACAATGAACAACAAATATTGTAATTTTAGGGTCATTATATTTGACAATTTAGAAATATAAATCAACTTTCTTTTTCTCTGGAGCATTTAATTTAACATAGATATCTCATGTAAAAAATTATCTATCATTATTTAATTTAAATCCAAATGTTTTGATAACATTAATAAGAACACTAATAACAATAAGAAGAAAAAAGCAAGCAATTGTACATATAAATATAATAATAAAGCATCGACGTTTATCTTTTTTTCTTCTTAATTCTAAAATTTCGTATAAATCAAAATCACTTTTTTCTAAATTTGTTTGTGTTTGGTATATAGATGTATCAATTTGTTCAATATATGTATTTTGACTATCTAAAGTTGAATGTAAAGTATGATATAATTCTTCGATTTTATTTAAATTATATTGTAATTTAAAGATTTCATCATGTGCTTCATAGATTTCTGCTGATGAATATTGATCACTTAATTGAATTTGCATAGACAGTTGAAAGAAAACAATGAAAATATAAATCATAACCAATTTATGCAAAGGAAAAGTATACAATAAAATGATAATTTACAGCGCGTTTAAATTATTAACTGAAATATGTTGTACATAAATAAGACTTCTTCGTACATATTTAAAATAGTACGTTGAATGATCAAAGAAAAAAAATTCTCTATACATTATTTCTACGATTTAAAAATAATGTTATATAGAATTAATATTCGTTAGATAAGATCAATATTTTTCTACATGTCTGATTTTATTAATGTAATGATAGTAATATTTGCATTTGATTTATTGATCTATCATTATTATCTATGAATCTATTTTTATTCATATAACAATCGCTATTAGAATATAATTTTTCATCAAAAGATTATATATAGATCTTAACATGTTACATATAGAAATCTAAATAGTATAATATTCTTCTTCTTCTCTCCTATGAAAAACCGATTTAATTCATCTAATATGTACAAACCTCATTATAGAACTTCCTCAAAAAAATAATTCAATTTTTTATAAAGAACTTATGCTGATATGACCGAAACTTTCTCCAATAGCTCTCTCTCATAATTCTATACATTTCGTTCGGCATTTTCTAACTGAGAAACATACATATATACACAACTAGATAAATTTATTCATAAAACTTTTGATTGTATAAAAGAAAATAATCTAGTTAATCGGAAAAGCAAATACGAGATTCTTATAGCGAGCGTAGTTTTTTTTGCATCACTGCGTGTAAAATAAATGAAAATTTAATTTATAAAAATCTTAAACTAATATTTGTATACATGTTATCTAAAATAAATTTGTTTTTCTATTAGTTACACAAAACCGATCGTTATATGAATATTTTATTTATAATTAATAAATAAATTCGGTACATAGTAAATAATAATCCTTTATTATTTCCAAAGAGAAATAAAACATACCTCATTTCAAAGACTACATTTATTATTTATACAATATATTTGATTTATATGCAACAAATAAATATAATGAAATATTTTTCATAGGAAATGAATTATTAATCTATATGTGACAAACATTATAGATGAAAATTATGATGATATTTTACAAAAAATAATTGTACTTAATTCTTTAAATAAATAGAATAATTATAAACTTATAATATACCACGAACTACGATCAATTTTTTGTAAATACATGTGCTAATTCATTAATATGTATGACCAAATTTATTCTCTACAAATCACCATATAGTCCCTTGTTAAATAAATGTAATAAGAATAATGGATAAAAATACAAAACCTAGAAAATGTCTATACTCCCCTGAGATCCATTCATATTCAGGTGTAAAAGAACAGACATTGTCTTTAGAGAATTCAAATGTTGATACAGTCTCTTTCATTAGACTGAATATTTTTTGAAGAAATATACCATCTCAAAAGATATTATTCTACGTACATACATACATATTTATATATATATAATATATAATATATTTATACAGATAAATAACATTGGCTTAATTAACAGATAATATAAATTTGATATTGCATCAGTGAATGAGTGACAGCGGAGATTCTAACACAGACAACACGGAAAAAAACAGAGTAAAAACACGAGTGAAAATATTTTTTGATGTTCTTACTGCTCATAAAAAGCAAAATAACCATATGATTAGGAAGATTAAAGTCAATATTGTTTTACCAATAAAAAACACGAAATGTTACAATTGTAAACAAAAGAAATAAAGATCTGAATGATTCTATAGGTATAAAAGGGGTTGTGCAGACAAGCAAAACAAAAATGATTTCGAAAACATACACACATTACTGAACTTATTACTTTACAAAACAACAAACAAGGCGATAAAATATTCTCTTTTTTTTCTTTGCACGAAGAACAACCACAAAAAAGAAATGAGGAAGAAAATGAGAAAAGAACTTGCAGATCTTCTATTATGTCGTGAGAATAAAGCCACATGAACAATTATAAAAAAATATAATGAATACTAATTTGTATGTAGAGATTAACTTTTCAGCAATGTTTTAGCGCGTTTATTAGCTCCTTCAATACGAATTTGACTGATATCTGTCTATAAAAGTAGAGAATAAACATTAAGAATTATCATGATAATATACAACAAATTTTGTTTCACATACTTTTCCTTTAATACGATCAATTTGATTGTTTTGATTACCAATTTCATTGCCCATATCACATGCCATATTTCGTAGATTGCCAATCATTGTACTTACTTGCTGAAGATTCTCTTCCATTTCATCCTCACGTGCATCATTCGTAATTCTAAATAGTTTCATTATTTAAATAAACGCAAGAAAAAAAAACGTTTTCTACCTCTGAATATAACCAGAACCAGGACCCATAGCACCTTGTGCAACCACTTGTCTTGGACCTGATGAATTGACTTTTCCATCTTCATTACCTTTAAATGTTTTCATAAATGCAGCACTTTTTTCGACATTTTTTGATCTAAATATGTTTTTTTTAATAAAAATTAAGAATGGTTGAATAAAAGGTAAATTTTATTACCGTTTCCACGGAAGTACGCATAAACCACAACATTTTTCAAGACCTTCAAGATTTTTTTCTGCGTCACGCATTTCAGCATTGATTCTATCCATTCCAGCATCGATAGCATCGAGTTGTTCTTAAAAAAAAAAGTTTTTTTTTTGATTAATAACTCTCTTAAATATGGTTTCAATATACAAGTATCTATTATTAATCAAATTCGATCATTCAGATTTGTCAGTTTGAATTATAAAATAATTGATTTTTAAGAGCTTTAACTTGAATAACTGTATGATTATTCCCTTGCGTGTTATTGGAAAGATTTATTAGAATTACTATACAGATAGCTTTATTAGTATGATAAGTCTTATATAGATTTGTGCTCATCTATAATGAAAAAGTTTATATTGATATTCTGTTTCATCTCTCATAGTATCTATTGATTTGCATATTGACTGTCAAAAATCTTTAGCATTACTTTTTTATTTTAGAATAAAAATATTTATCATGGAATAATTCAAAACGTTAGAATTATTAATATTCCCATATCGAAAATAACAGGAATGATGGCTTTGGACTTTTTGCCATAGACCAAATCAATCTATTTATCGATGGGTAAAGACTCTCATTTTTTTTTAATACTTAAGTCGATAACCTCGTTATATGGCATCGTGAAGTATATCTCTATATTTAGAAATCAATCTATTACTATGAAAAATCTAATATTCAAACGTTTTTCTTTTTCAATCAATCATAGACATAGGGGAATTCCTCGAACTTCGTCTTTTCTATCTTATATAAAAGGCATTATTGTTTATATCAAAATTACATATACTTTGAAGTGTTCAACATCAAAGTTTTATAGTCACTTAGGAGGAGAAAAAAAGAACACTTTCAGTTCTTCTTCTTCAATCAAGTTTTTTTTCTCATTAATATATCAAGGTGTTAACAAAAATAAAAACAAAATAAATGCTTTTATTTATTCATTATTATTCTTTCTTTCTTACCTCCTTGTTCATCAAGCATGACCAATGTTCGTATACCAGCTTCTTTGCTCTAAAATTAAGTCAACATTCATTTAAGTAATTAAATAAGTAATTATTGTATTCTTACTTCTTCGCAAAGGCCGAGCATACGACGAGTGGCTTCAAGTGACTAAACAAAAATAAAGAGGAATATTTAATCATCATTTGGCACTTAAATAGAGTGCTGTAGTTAAAAATTTAACAAATGAATTTTTTCCTAATTAAAAGCCATTAATTAAGATCGGCAAATGAATCATGAAATATTACAAACTAAAAATTTAAATTTATTTTAACTAATTTTCTCACTTTATTTTATTTAACACCATTGCATCCATTGGAATAATCGATTTCATTAATCACTTATTTTTATCTTAAATAAACTATTTTTGAATCACTTTAGTTCCTAGTTTTGTTTTTAATAAGATTCATAATATGAACAGTGCATTCATCTGACTTCTTTTCTTTTCTTTTCTCTTTTTGCTTCATCGAAACAATCGTATTCATTCTCATAGGAATTCAAGTTGAAATTGATCCGGTTTCTGATCACACTTCTATCGGATGATAGAAATATATTCATGTCTTCTTGAATAATCATACTTGTCATAAATAAAAAGGCAGAAGACAAAGACACTATCAAATATCTTGTAAATGCAATAATTATGTTTTTTTTTCTCTTAGAAAAATTAAATACAAGAAGATTTACTAATCGATAGAACAAAGAAAAGAAATTTTCAGTTTATGAACATTATTATCATTAATATAACGATTCTATCTCTTCTTTTTTCCCTCTCTCTCTCTCTCTCTCTCTCTCCCTCTTTCGCTATATATATAGTGACAGAGTAAAAGAAAGTAATTCCGAGTTTTTCTTCTCTTCTTATGTTACTCTTCGATTCTATTCATCAATCATCTTATTGTATAATGCATATAGACGAACGAATGAATGAACGAACGAGATATATCTAAATAATCGAATCGATTTCGCATTCACGCACGCAAAAGAAAGTAAATCTCGTTTTTGTTTGTCGCGAATGAGAGAAAAAAAACAAAATGAAATTAAATGGTTTCTTGCAAAAATCTACATATGAAATATTTTGGATTTTTACCTCATGAACACCCTGGTCAATGGTTACCAATAGTTGTTCTTCTTCCGTAAGTATTCTTGGTGGTTCATTATTAGGTTGAGGAGTATTAGTCGGTTTTGATGAAAACGGTAAAACCATGTTTTTTATATTAACAATTTATGGTTAAAGACGTGAAAAGAAAATCTTTTCAAATATCGCCTTCTTTTTTTTCTCTTTGATCTGTACTTTTCACATTTTCAAAGAGTAGACAGCCAACGTTAGTGTGAGGCGTTAATGATGAATAATAATAATAAATTTTTTTTCTTTTCGCTAAGTAGAAAATCACCAGTCACTCACTGATTGCTATTTGGTGGACAGAAGAAGAAATAGAAGGAGAAGAAGGAAATTTGAATTCTAAAGAATGTGAGAGAGAGAGAAGGAGTGAATGCAAGACTTTGCTCGCTAACTTGCCGTTGTCTTCCTCTCGATTGATGCTTGAGCAAAAAGAAAGCAATGAGAAACTACGACTGTTTTTTATGAACAATGTCGAAAAAGAGAACGAAGAATAAGAAGAAATAGAGAAAAAAGGAGAAATAAGAGAAAAGAAGCAACAAAAATAACAATATTGAGTTCCTCATTTACAAAAATCGCCATCATGGCAATAATAAAGCATAATATATATAAAGAGGGAGAGAGAGAGAAAGAGACAAGAACTAGGACGGAAAAACTTCAAGATTGATAGTTTATTTCTTTTGTTCTTTCGTTTCGTTATATATAAAATCAAACATCATTTGCTTGTATTTATTATAGAAAAATATCTCATCGTTAAGTTTAATATAGAGACTAAATATTGTTATCTAGTTAATTACAACAGTCCAAGTAAAAAGGAATTATTTATAACTCTTCCTTCTTTCTTCTTTGTTTCTCGATTCAATGAGCTAGTAGATTAAATATAAGGGGATAGACTCTATATCGACCAGATCGACGACGCATCATTAAAAACACTGCTATAGTTTCCTTCTTTTCTCATGTGCGTGTGTAATTCTTGTCGTAGACAGAGAAAGGTCTCGAAGGAAAACGCAAGAACTCGTATACTGATTATTATCTTAATCGAATTTTAGTAACAATAGGCAAGAAAAAAAAAATAATGACAAGTGCAAAAAATCATACACATGCGCCTATATATATATAAATAAACTTCCATAGACGGATGTAAAAGATTGAGAAGGGTCAGCATCTTCTATATATATATATATATATATAATAAAGCAAATATAGATGAATGTCAACAATAAAAAAACAATAATAAGCAGTTCTAAATTGCACGATCACAGTCGAGGACATAAAAAAAAATGCCTCCAGCTGATAGTCTCGTCCTTTTTTTTAGCATTATCACTACTCTTCTTACATTGCTACGCAATCAATTAGAGGAAAAAACAATTGTTAAAAACAAACCACTTACTTCATTTGCTGTTTGATTCATCTGCATCTGAATTCCACCTAATTCGGTTGGTGGTGGTTGTATTGGTTCTTCAGCAGCCATTTTAATATATTTACGTAGTTATTTTTAAGTAAATGCTAGTTTTTAAAATCAGTGGCTTTTGACTGAGAACTCTAGAGTGTCTAGAAAAAAAATAAAAAAAAATAAGAACGAATAAGAAACATAGAAAATATTGACAGGTGAGGATTATGGAACAACGCCATTTTGTTTTTTATATCAACTCTTTCATGTAAATGTTTGGTTCTAGTGTGAACATACATGAAAAAAATAACTTATATGATTATTGAGGCCGAAGGCAATATGAACTACTACATGAAATGAACGAACATCAATATAACATGATGAGATGGACGTATGAGTGTTTGTTTATATGTTTGTTGACTAATGAGTTGTTTTTCACTATTGGATTTTATTTATAGCAA